GACCCTGGGGAGAAGCGCGGCCACGCGCACCTCTGCCCTCACGTAGAGACCACCAGGATCTAACTGTGGGCGCCAGCAGTTGCGACGTGCCAAAAGGCGCACACGGCGGCTCTGGGGCTGGCAGCTCCACTGACGTTCCGCGCGCCGCAGGGCGACGCGGACGAGAGAAAAGCGGCGTTGCGCCGCCTCCCCCCCCGCCTCCAGCGGAGGCGCGGCCACGTGCCAGGTTATTTGATTGGTCAAGGTTTGATTTCCAGATAAGCCGCCTAAACTTGCGGAGCTACGATCCGACCGCCGTGCTGAAAGAGCTACGAAAGCTCCATTTCCGTTGGTATCACGCCTCTGAACCAAAGATGCATGCAATTTTGTCGCCCGTAGGAATTGACGTTGCATAATTAAACGCGATAAAAGGTGCAATTGATTCTTGCCGCGAGTGCAAAGCCTGGGAGAAACCGAGCAATACCGTTATGCCTTCAACGAGGAAGTCGGGTGTGATTTGACGATCTTCAAACAACAGATTGGGTTCCACATCTTCGACCGATGCATTCGTTGGGCTGCGGGCCAAGAGATTGCCGACAGGAGGGCGCATGCGATAATAGACGCTTATCACGGCTGCTGGGCGTAGCACAGCCCGGCATCCTCGTTGTATTCCGACGGCGAAATATTCTGAACAACGATACTGCCAAAGCTGTCCTCGCGGCTAAAGGCACAGAGTTTCGCTATCGTGATCGAGGCCAGCACGCCACCGCCATCGAAGCACGGAACGGCATCCGAAGGCACGCCTTGCATGTTATGGAAGAAAAACTACAGCGACACAACAGACCATTGGTTTATACACGAGTGTTGCACGAATGCCCATTTGTCTGCAGCGTTTTTGTTCGTTCGACAGCGGGGTATCTCCATGCCGAGCACTGCGCGGACGACAACCTGCCCGTTTACCAAGCCAGCCGGTGCTGGGCCGCCAACAGGGGACGGAAACGCCCGATCACAAACGAGAGCAAATAATCATAGAAAAAAAGCATCGAGGCCATCACACACGCCACTGCAGGAGCCAATACCAATAGACCCCACGCACAAAAACGACAGCTGCAGGACACTGCGACTGTCAGCCAGGGGATCTCGTGGACTACCACCGTCCGACCGCTCCCAAGGACGATTGGGGCGGGTGGAGTGGACCGTGCTTCGTCGGCCGCAACTACCCTGACCGCGGTCAGGCAGTAGCGCAGGTTGGAGGTCGGGGAGCACTGGCGCAATGCCCAGACTTGCGACACACATTATAGATTGAAGTATTCATGGTCCGCGAGATCGGCTCGGACACTACGGCGCTGCGAACAGCATTGGTCTTCATCGCGAGCTTGCCGGCGGGGGCGCCTGCCACGGACTTTGGCTACCTGCCAACCAAGCAGGGGAATTCGCGGATGATTACAGCGAGTATTTTCTCGCCCAAAGTACACTTAGCGAAGCAGTTCCTCATCGGGACGTTTTTCTGGATAGAAAACGTTGCAGCTGCGCGTTTGGCTGAAGGCACCCGCCGGTTACTGGCGCCACCTTGAGCGGATAGCTGTACCCTGGTATGCTATGATAACGACGTTGCACCAGGATTTCACTGCTACGAGTCCGAAGGCGCCGTTCTCAACGTGCACGACATCACTGGCACCGCGCACGCACGAATCATTCAGCGCTCTAAGTCATCTGATGCAGGCTTCGATGAGGATCTCTAAAAATGCACGGACCTGGCGGACGCGCCAGCGACAGGCGGCCACGCCCAAGAGGAGAACGGACCTCCAGCACCGGCCGCCCTTGACGGTAAACTACCAACTATTGCTGAAGAATATGAAACGCACCTGGAAGCACAGATTATGGACACGTGGTATGTAGAGCTCCAAGAGGAAGCGGAAGTACTTGAGACCCCCTCATGGGAGTCCCTGTGTTCGGTACATACCGAAATGGTTACTGACAACCGCGCGCGCGTGGCTATGGCCAGGGACGTGCAAGGGCACCTGCGACAAATTGGTTCTGCTCGGAATCGCGACACCGACAATATTTCTGGTACCTTGGACCATTGAATACGACAAGACTTACGATCTCGACTCGGACGACCACGGCCAGTATGCCGAGCTCAACTCTACTGCTGGCATAGCCAAGGTCGTTCTATCTGCGCAACAATACGAGTCACTACACAGCGACCAAGAAACCACAATGCGTGTATATGTCTCGGCCGCAGCAAAATGAACGGCCGTTGTCAACGAAGACGACCTCCTGGCGAAGGCAGAAGCACAATCCGACCCGACAAAGATATCCAAGGATTTGCTTACACCGTGAATTTAAAGTATAGCATGATAACCAACGTTTCAGGATGCAAGACATCAAGACTGCTACCAATATCATGACTTCTAGATACGTGTACAAGTGGAAATTGATCAAGAACGACAGGCAGAATGGAGCGAACAATTCGACTACGCCATGTGTTTTTCGCGGCTTCGTGGGCGTCGGAGCATTCGACGTAGAAACTTCCTCAGACGCAGCTCCACGGGCAAGCCAGAGATTCGCTCACAAGTGCGGCCGCGCGCGAGAAACTGCGGGCCATGGCATCCATGGACATCGACGACTCTTTCTTGAAGGGTCTGACTTACCGTGAGTTGGCAGGGGCCGCTGGCGAGAAAAGAGCGCATGGCATGCTTCGCTCTCCCACCTGGTTCAGCCCTGGCGCTGCGTGCACTGCCCGGTTTCTCGTCCCATGACGAGTCAAAACGTTGTCGTCAGCGCCTTAAGCCAGGCGCAGGCACCCAGGGCGCCCCAGGGGCATTCTCATTGAAGCTCAGAACCATCACGCGAGGCTTCGGGCTGAAACCCACATCATATGACGCAGAGTTCGAGACATGCCCAAACCTCCTGACAGCCAAGCACGTTGACGACACCAACGTGGCAGGAGTGGAGGAAACCAGTGACCAGCACGTCGAATGTGTAGAAGATACGTCTGGCGCATGTAAATTGAACAAACACTGTTACACGCATTGCGCCGCGCGATGCACTGAAGCCGAGGGCGGCCACGCCCAGCTATATCAGGATGAATGCATCAAACAGCTTCGCCCGATACAGCATCCATAACTCACGCGCGCTGTAGCGGAAGGAAAGGCAACGAAGGGAGCATCCGACATGTCCGTCAGTTTACGCGGCGCCTTAGCAAGCGCATTGATCACTCAGGCATGGTCAATGGTGCGCGCGGCATCCTTGCAACGCGCGCAGGAGCCCACAGACCTCCGAGTACGACGACTTGACGCGGTCGCACGCAAACCACAGCATGGCCCGAAGAAAAAACATAGATCAACGTATGACTCCGACAGGAGAAGTGGATTTAATAGTGACTCAGGTCACCGCCGCCTCAATGGGGACCAAGCTGACGAAGTAAAGGGGCATGGCGTCCGAGGGGCCAACCTTTTACTGCGTGGACACACGCCCAACGGCAAAGCAGTAATACACCTGATTGATGCAGACTGCAAGTAACATCGCTTCCAGGTGCGCTCCAGCTACTCAGCTGAAACACAGGCAGCGGCTCATATCTTGAGGACTGCCATCTTACCATATTTACGCTACGCGAGTTTAAAGCTGGACCCCTAACACCAATTCAAGTTAGGAACATGTTGGAATTCGGTGGTCTCGCCATTAGGGCCGTCCTTACTTTAGACGCTGGGTCGGTCTTCAAATCCTCGTCAAGTAGGGACTTGCAGAAGCCGACCGAATGTGCCCTGCTGGGACATATCAGCTGGATGAGACAGCTGATGGACCGAAATATAGCTCACAGCACACAATGGTGTGACACACGGGATATGACCGCGGACGGCCATGCCAAGGGGCGCATCGACCGCGCGTTATTGCTGCAAGTGGCGATCGGAAATCAATATTTCAAGTACGAAAGAAAGTGCATACCCTGTCAAGGCAAAAAAGACGCAGCACCAATATGGGGGCGCCCTATTCAGGGCCAGCGGACACCAATGAAGACAACTACTCAACACACAGACAAGCAGTAGTTAACCTTGCCCAGACACGGACATGTATAACTACAAGTAGTGACCCCCGCCCGGCCACGGGCATATGCATCCATAGCTTCACAGCTACCGCGAGTGCCTTGACATGGGCACTATCCTTCCGTAGTTTTTTGAGGGGATCGGACCGCTTGGTCGCACCCTTCACATGCTGCACGTTTTGACGTCCGGCCCGCTGGCTGGGCGCCCCCCCGACTTGTTTGTGGGCAGTCATGTGGTATTGCCCGTGACTGCCCATAATCGTCTGTGGCTGGTCATGGCAATATGCCATCACCAGACCTTATACTCTGCGCTGCCTTCCCTTTGCCTTCTTACTGTGTGCTGTTGAGGATTATGAAAAATTTCGTCCTCATCCTTCTTTACTCTATCTAATTCGTTTGGACTAAGATCTAGCGTTCGGTCCTTTTCCTCCCGATCTTAGACCCGGTTACGGAGAGGCTGCATAGCGAACGCTATATCCGACGCTGCCTTGGTTCAAGGTTGTGCCGTCCTATATTCTAGGCGCATGCCACTCTGCGCGCCCCAATTGGGATCAGCGCAACGAACAAAGGACAAGTCTTTCTTTGATCCGTATTCCATTCCCATGGCTCCTCTCTTACTTGTTCCTTCGCTTGCCATCAAGGGATGCGTTGTGGTATACCTCGATACGTCGCCGACGTTATCCTAAGAGTAGAGTTCTCAGCTTATTACCTCATGGTCAAGCCCTGCACCCTTACTGTTCACTGGCGGGGACGATCTGAGGGCGGACCCACTCCGTGCCCAAAGGCACGGTGTCCATATATGTACATATTCAAACACATATGTACGCAAGGGGACACATGCATTTGCACATACATGGATACACACAAGCGCGTGTATACACATCTGTCTATATATAACAAATCCGCGCACGCACACAGCAGATTACCAGACACAAGCGAACCAACACGCAACAGCAGCAATACAAAAGCGGCCGAGGCCCGCGAGTGGAGCGCCTGGCCCTGGGCGGCGCCACGCCACCGAGCGCCTTTTGCACCCCGAGCGGGGGCCTGGACCTGCGCTTCGAGCGGCGCTTGCGGGCCGCGGGCCCACAGCTTCGTGGCGTCGCCGTCGTCATCGCTGTCGTCGCCGCCGTCGCCGCCGTCGCCGTCGCCGTCGTCGTCGGCGCAACGGCCCGCCGTCGCCGCCGTCGTCGGCGGAGGCGTCGGCGTCGGTCGTGGCCGTTGGCGGTCGTTCATCGTCGGTCGTGGTTGTCGTCGTGATTCGTCGTAGTCGGTCGCCGTCGATCGTCATTGTCGTGGTTCGTCGTCGTCGTGGTTCGTTCGTCGGTCGTGGTCGTTCGTCGGTCGTGGTCGTCGTCGCCGTCGTCGTCGTCGTCGACGTCGTCGTCGGCGGCGTCGGCGTCGGCAGCGTCGGCGGCGTCGGCGGCGTCGGCGTCGGCGTCGGCTTCGCCGTCGTGGCCGTCGTTGTCGTGCGCCGCCGTCGTCGCGGGCCGCGTCGGCGTGGGCGCCCCGCGCTCACGCGTCGGAGCGTGGAGCAAGGATGGGCTTGCCTCCGGCTGACAGCCGATTTCGAGCAATGCAGGATGGCGGTGCGCTGGTATTCCCAGCAAGGTTTGGCCAGTGTGGGGCTGGGGTGGGGTTTTTCAAGGTGCGTGCTGTCCGCGGAGTTGAGTCCTCATCCACCTCTTGATCCAATTCCGCATCCTCTGTTTGATCGTTGAGACGAACTGGCCTCCACTGGTGCTCGTCGTCATCTTCCTGCCCTGGCCTCCGTTGAGAGACGTGGGGCAGCAGGAAAGGGGAGGCGGAGTAGGGAGGGGAGGGACGAAGAGGGGGGTGAATACGATGAGCAGTAGGAGAGGAAGGAGGAGAAGGAGGAGAGTGGGGAATGAAGCATCGTGGGTGGATGAAGCGGATGCGCAGCAGGAGGAGGCGCAGCAGGAGGAGACGGGACGCAGCTGTTGTGCAGCTTCGGAGCTCAGTCGAACCGAGGGGCAACACACTAAGGCCAACTGGGATTTCAGGCCTTTCAATCTGGAGTTGTGCGGACAGGAGTACGCGCTCGAGTAACCCTGGCGCCGCTTGCACTCAGAAGGACGCTTCGCTCTTCATTACTCATGCTGCCGACTGTCTACTCTTAATTACTCTGGACCATTCCTCATGATCATGCGTTCATTTCCATCATAGTAATCTTCTCAGTCTGTTCCTCCTCCTCGGCTTCCTCCTATGACTGGTGCTTCGCCTGCTTCGCCTTCCGCCCTCTCCGCCTCCTCTCTTTCCCTTTCTTTGTTCCTACTCCTCCTCATCCTCCCCTTCCCCTCGTCCTCGGTCCTCGTGCCCCTCGGTATCATCGTCATCTTCGTCATTGTCGTCGTCCTCCTCCTCACCTTCTTCGGTTATCCGATCGCATTCCCCCTCCCCTTCGCCAACCATTGCTGCTGCCCCTTGCCCTTCGTCACTCCCTCTCTCTCGTTTTGTTTTGTTCTCTCTCTCTCTCTCTCTCTCCGTAGCCATTTTGGCTCAAGCCGCTCCGCGCGCGACGCCCCGTGATTCAAGCCGGCTTGCCATGTCCCTCCGGTTTTGTGCTGCTGGTCGCGCTCGCGTCGCTGGAGTATACTGGTTGCGCGCCCGCTGCGCGTGGTGTGATGCCGCATGTGCACTCGCTGGAATCCAGGCTACGTCGGGCTCAGCGGGCTCGAGATCTCGGATTCTTACGTCCTTGGCCAGGCCCTGATCGTCGGCTTCTGGAAGTTCCTGCTGCGCTGCATGCCTCCGCGAAGCAGGTCGTGAAGTCGCTTGAGCTGCACGTTGCTCACGATGCTCATAACGATGTCCCCCATCATCATCATGCCAGGCTGGCTACCATAGCGGCTCGGGGTCATGAGGGCGACCTGCAAGTTCGTGATGCGACGCGTGTTCATCGTGCAGCTGGTCGGGCCAAGCGCGAGATCAGCAAGCGTGTGCTCTCCGCCGTGCGTGGAGGTGGTGCTGGTCGTGACCCGCTTGTCGTTGGTGCTGCGGGGGCTCCGTCACGCTCTCCTCCCTCCGCCTCGGGTGGTGTTCGTGGTGAGGATCCTCTCGCCGCTTGTGACCCGTGGGCTGCTGCTCTTCGACGTCCTGGAGGCGCTCTTGAACGCGATGCGTGTTCGCCACCTGTGCTGGGCTGCGCCTCCGCCTTGCGTGGAGTTTGCCTGGGCACTGCACGCTGTGAGGACGACACTATGGAGACTGCCAGCTTTGTTTCGGCGTCTGGTCTTCGGGCTGATGCGGACGCCTACGTGCCCTCTGCCGCCGCCGAGTGCGCGCTGGGCTCTGGCTCTGCTGTGGGGCCACCTGCCTTCATGCTCGGCTTCGCCTTCGACCTGATCGCCGCTCAGAACAACACCATTGCGTTGCTGTGCACGGAGCTGGAGACGCTGAAGCTCCACAAAGCAGAGATTCTTGCGATGTTGGAGGTTGAGTGCGACAAAAAGTTCGTGCAACAGAAGCAGTGGGTCCAGGATGCCGTCGCGGAGTTCACCTCCACCGTGCGCGTCTGCATTACCGACTCCGTGGGCGAAGTTGTCAATGAAGCGCTCAAGCCGATCCGTGCGGGTGTTGCTCAGGTTCAAGATGCCGTGTCGGTGGCTCCTTCGCCCCGTCCTTTGTCTCCGTCGCTTTCTTTCGCCGCCGAGGTGCGTGGCGCTTATCCCAACATGCCTTCCGAATTCTGTCAGGCTGTGCAGGAGATTGTGGTTTCTTCTGGGGCTCGCCAGGCACCTATGGAGACATCCGTAGTCGAAGATTGCTCCGATGAGGACGTTGACGACGAGCTGTGCGAAGTGTGTGGGGGCTCGTTCCGTTTTATTGATATGTCCACTCCGCCGTGCCAGTGCCGGGGTGCTGTGGTGAACTTCTCTGGTGTGCCTGAGCCGGTGTGGGAGTGATCGTCGCGGTGGCCGTCGGCGTCCCTGGTATCGCGTTTATTGATTTGGTTGGCTGTGCCATTGTCGTTGTGTCCCTCCTGTGGGGGGTGCGGATCGTTAGCGTTCAAGAGGTGTGCTGACAGACTTCGGCCGATCCTACTCTGGTCTCTCTCTCTCTCTCTATATATATCACTCTTCTCTCTCTCTCTCTCTCTCTCTCTCTCTCCCTTTCTCTATATATCTTTCACATATTGTAATATATAAATGTGGTTTCTCCTAGGCCTTGCACAACATACCGGTCCGTTGCACCATGCGTCCCATGCTGTAAAAATGATGGTTCAGTCCTGTGATGTGGGAGTTGCTCTCGGCGCTCTTTTCGGCGGCCCGGGATCTCACCACCCTTGGGTTGCATTGGCAGACGGCCGCAGCGGCCGCCCAGTGTCCGAGTCCGCCTGCGATTCCAGCGTGCCCAGAGCTGGTCTGTGCGTTTGGACCGCCACTGTCTTGTTCTGCCTCGCACTGCGAGTGCACGTGCCCTGTGACAGCGGGGGCTACTGGCTGCTTCTGGCGGGCGTTGGCGCGGCTGGTGGAGCCGCGCTGGGCGGCCTGGCGGCAAGGCGCTCGACCTCCTGAGGTCGGACGTTGTCGGAGGCAGTGGCGGCACCGTCGGTGCTCGAGGATCGTGTCGGAGCTGGCCGTGCGTTGGTGATCACGCCCAGCAGCAGTCGGGATGGCGGCGCGACTTCGGACCCTGGACGTTTGGTTTGAGGGATTCAGATCGTAGTTAATTCTCCTGCCGATGACCTCCCTTGGCTTCATCGTGTCCTCCTGTTCCACCTTGGGGACGGGGCGTGGATGTGCTTGAATCCCGACACGGAGATCTCCACGGGCATGACCTGAACACGATGCGCCATTATGTGTTGGATCGCAACAGCTCGTTTCCGAACTGGGTGTTGGCGGGGCTCTTTGCGTTCGACCCTGTGGGCCCAGGCGAGCTGGCGGAGATAAAGCGCCAGGCGCGCCAGCGAGCTGCCCTGCTCGGTGCTGGCGATGCTTTCGAGGAGGAGGCGATGGTCTGGGTGGTCGGGGATCCGCGCGACTCTAGGTTCGGCGAGGTGCTAGACGCGCAGGCGATCGAGAGTCCCAACCAGCGTGTGCATATGCGGACGATGGGGGTGATATCACTAGATGGTGCCAAGCGACTGATTGTGAAGATCAACCTCGAAGAGCGCGATGATTGGATGCGAGACCAGCGAGAGCGCGGCATCGACATTCGCACCATCGGAGACCACCGCTCTATACTCGGTCGGCGTGACGTTGACTTCAGGGACGCCGTTGAGGTGATGGAGCAGGTGGAGCTCGCCGACACACCTGACTTGGGCCGTCGTGCGATGGGAGAGTTCTTGACCTCAGTGGCGACGGGCAGTGGGAATCTTGTGAGCTACCAGGCAGAGTGGGAGAGGCCGAGCGGCGTTGTCGCATGTGGAGCTCCGAAAAATGGGCACCGCATCCTGTTGGAGATAATCCGTCGCGCCATTTGCCTTGACCAGTTGAACGCAGAAAACTTTCATTGCATGGGGGTGGCAATTAAACGCGTCATTCACATGCAGATGGCGGCGCAGAGGAATCCTCGCCATCCTGACTTCTCGGGGCTCGAAGATGTCATCGCAGGGCCCACTGCGACGTCGGGATCAGCATCCATGCCAAAGAATTTGGAGCGCGTCGTCGCCCGCCAGGGGGATCGCGCCAACGTCTTGAAGCAGATGCGACTGCGCAAAGAGGAGCCGGACCAGGCGATGAGAGGGACAAGCGTCCGAAGGCTGGCGCGGGTGACAAGAAGGATAAGCTGGGCAAGAATGGCGGCAAGGACAGGCCACCCCCGGGTGAATGCTCGGGGGGGGGGGGGGGAGGGGCCTCCTTCGCGGGCGCTCTTGACTGGGCCCGAGGACGGCGGGCGCCAGTCAGTGGAGCTCGAGGCGCATCAAAACGAGACTGCTGGTTCGCGGCCCGTGGCTCCACCGCAACCCCTTCCCCTTGCCCGCTGTGGGCGTCGAGAGGGGCCCGCCGGTGGCCCGCGCCCCGCCGCGCGACGGTGGGGGCTGAGGGCTACGAGGCAGCGGCGAGTATCAGAAGCACTTGAAACGCTCAACTACCTCGCCGCCTCACGCGTGA